ATGGCTCTAGCATTAACTATAATATCCCTTAATGCAGAGGTCCCCAACCTTTTGGCACCAGGGACTGGTTCCATGGAGGTTTTTCCATGGACTAGAGGGGGCCTAGTTTTGTGTGCTTCCTGCATCCCACGGTTGCTGGCATTCTGTGGCCTGGTACTGGTCCACAGACCAGGGGTTGGGGACCCCTGCTTTAACGCTTCTCAAGTAGTTATCTTTAATTGCTTCTCCTGGGCCTTTCTTTCAGAAAGAGAGGAAATCTCCTACTCTCCCCCAGCTACCTATTTGCTCTGTTTTCTTACAACAGTTAGTACGTAGAATTTATCCAACTGACACAACCCACCTCCTCTCGTTGTACAAGAGGGTGCCCAGATTCAGTTGGTATCCTGTCTGGGCCCATGGAAATCACAAGCACAAAGGTAAGTTTTGTATCTTTACTAAAAGATACAAAAGGGGTTTTAAACAGACTTCTAATGGCAAAAACATTTAACAATCACAGTCCCTCCTTCCTGGTCAAAATACCACACAAATTCAACCAGCTTAAATTAGAGGCAGTTACTGGACTTCTAATGAGCAAGTTACTGGGTCAAACAAATGTAGTATAAGAGTCAAGGGTCACTACTTGAGAAGACAGGCTAAGGAACTGAGGAACACAGTGAAGAGTTGTCACCAAATGATCTGTGAGACACACAACTCCCCTTATATAAGAGAGGCGTGACCCAAATTTGTTCCTTTAGCAGGACAGGATTCTTTTTGGCCAATAATCTTACTAGGTGCCTTTGTTTAGCCCTCCTCTCTTCATGGCAGGCTCTTGCACTGGAGGGAACTGTTAGCTCCACACATTTGTCTTCTGAGGCCAGTAATAACTGCCTCTGGTTGCTAGACAACTGCCTATAACTCTTCCACTTGAATCCCCTCAGGCTGATGACCCTCCTGTAATTCTTCTTTATCCCCGAAATTCTGGGAATTGAAATCCACACATCTTAAAGTTGCTAAGGTTGAGAAACTCTGATCTAGTGAGTTTCAGCTGACCATGACAGTTGTGTCAATAGTTCCTCCAATCTAGCTGAAAAAGCCTCCAACTCTGGCCATTCTTGCGGGGGTCCACAATGGTCCATGTGTCATGCTACAGGTGCCCACACTCCTGTAGGTGACCACTCCAGGACTTGGTTCTGAGGACATTTTTCTCCTTTTTGTCTGGCTTCATCACTTGTTGACTGTGCCCATTGTTGCTGTTAATTTGTGAATCAACGCTTAATTTAGAATCTGCAGGATGGATACCAAAGAACGACAATACTAAGGGAGATACCAGGACAGTAATAAATCTTGAAAAACGTTTATTAAGAAATTGCCCTGAATATACTTATAGCATCAGAAGGATACTACTCCCAGATGTCCCTAAACGTTAAACCACTGAACTATACATTGCAGTTCATCAACAAAGAATCTTCCAGGTTTTGATTGTTTTCCTCTACTCAAGGGACTTCTGGCTCCCCAGATCTGGACTGGAAAAAATGAATGACCATGAAAGGGAAGAAAGGGTTTTCCTGTAACTTTTTTCCTCCACTTATTAGTCACCTCCATTATTCTTACTAAATCATTTTTTTCCAGTGCAGACTACATCTGACAGGGTTTAAAAAGATATTCTGAGTCTTGAGCATTTCAAATCTTATTCTTTAGCCCTTTCTATTTGCTCACCAATTCTGACTGCTCTTAAGTCTGAATTGCAAACTCAGATACTGACTCGTGGATGATGAACCAAAAGAAGCAGCAGCAACCAGACCACAGTCTGCACTGAAAGGGACGGTGGAGCAATAATCACAGGTATCTTGAAAGACCCTGGAAAAGGAGACAATTCTGTTTCTTCTTGAGGACAGGTATTGACTAGTGTGTTTCTGTTATACTCTACATTTTTCAAGCAGTAAGTAAGCAAGCAAGCAGTATTCTTCATAAAAAGAAATCGGAAAAATGCAAATGGAAGAAATCACCACTTTTGCTAGCTCGTCCATTTTAGCTGCAATTCCCAGATGACTATGCTGCTGGAAATTCTAGATACTGTATTACTCATACTGTTACAGGTTGCTAAGCTGGAAAAAAAGGATATAAACCATGAACCATGGTGGCGCAGTGGTTAGAATGCAGTATTGCAGGCTATTTCTGCTGACTGCTTGCAGTTTGGCGGTTCAGTTTTCACAGGCTCAAGGTTGACTCAGCTTTCCATCCTTCCAAGGTTGGTAAAATGATGACCCAGAAGGTTAGAGGCAATATGCTGACTCTGTAAACTGCTTAGAGAGGGTTATAATGCACTATGAAGCAGTATATAAGTCTAAGTTCTATTACTATATAATTTAAAGGTAGCATATTACAACTGTGCAAAGATAACAGGAGCAATGGCCACAACAGCCTTCCACAACAGCCCCAGTTTCTCATGTGACACCTTGGGAAAATTTAATTAATTAATTAATCACAGAATGGTAGAAGAGTGGGTAACAAAGCAATAGCAGAAGCACCAGAGTCATATTTTGGCTCAGTCATCTCCAAGACAGAGTACATCACTAGGTAATTGTGAAAAGCAAAAGCAGTATTGAAACTTGAGACTGACAGAAACATGCTCAAGGAATGCCTATTTATTTTGAATGAGTTTCATATTCCAGAGCCAGATCAATTGCAGTAATTGCCAAGTCAGTGTGGATTTGTCCAAAAGATATCTAGCCAGAATAATCTTAACTTGTATCTTAATGAGGTACCTTCCACAGTGGATTGTAGAATTGCTGTAGATATAATTTCAGCCAAGCATTTGACAATTTATCCCATGATGTCTGATGAGAAAACCATTTCAGTATGGAGAGCCTGACAATTAAGTAAGTACATAACTAGATTAAAAACCAAAGCTGCTAAAAATAATTGGGGGGGAGGGGAAACAAAACTGTGTGATGAAGATCCATGACTTAATAGCCACTAATGAAACATTTTTGGAATAGTTGTTGATAAGACACTGAATGTGAATTTGTGGTGTTAATGGCTGCAAAAATAGGGAAAAAAGTTGCATCGACAGAGGTATAGCTTCCAAATCACAGGAAGCAAAAATATTAATTTCATTCTGTGGTGATAGTATATGAATTTTATCCAGAAACACTGGACTAGGCTTAGAGAAAGGCAACAAAAGACATCAAACAACTAAAAGCTAAATCCTTAAAGACTGAGGGAGTTAGGTATATTTAGCCATTTGAAAATATAACTGAGGATGAATATGATAGATAACACCAAGAGAAAGAAATGTCAGGAACAACTGTCCATTGTTCCAGAGCTTAAGAAGCAAAATGTGCTGTGCTTTCAGTTGCAGAAAGAGAGATTTTGATTTGTCAGAAAAGTGTTAGAAAAAAGCTTCCTAATAGTAACTCAATAACAGAACAGAGAGATCAACACCTTGTTGTTACTGTGACAGTAACAACAGACATCTATGGCAGTGGTTCTCAACCTTTTTAATGCCGCGACTCCCCAATTGGTCATAAGTCGAGGACTACCCAACTGGTCATAAGTCGAGGACTTTCCCTGCCCGAGAGCACTGCACATGTGTGGTGCCGCCCCCTGCGCCAACCAAGGCGTAGCTGGCAAGGGGCAGCGACGGCATAGGGCGACCACCGGCTGGGCCACCAACTGACCCAGCCCAAGGTAGGTAAGGCACCCGCCGGGCCCCACGTGCGCCAGCAACCCTCTCTGCGCCCGCCGGCCTTCCACCTCCCACCCCTGGCCCTCTTTTACTTACATTTTTAGTAATTGCTCAGCAGGGAGGGGTGGAAACTTCCAGACAGCTCGCCTTCGCTGCAGACAACTTGCAGCACCGTTTGCAGAATGGGACTTTTGGCGGGCTCAGCAGGGCAGAGACAGCCTGGACACTTCCTATTGGCTTTTGAAAGCCAATAGAATTAGACTCTATTCAAGAGAGTCTATTCTATTGGCTTTCAAAAGCCAATAGAATAAAAGGGAGTAGCACAGCTAAGGAAAAGGGGAAAAAAATGGAGGACTGCGGACTGCGTTGTTTGGAGACCCCCGTGAAATGGTCGTTCGACCCCAAATGGGGTCGCGACCCACAGGTTGAGAACTGCTGATCTATGGGGAACACTTCAGTTTGGATTCCAGCTCTGATAAAGGGTTGGATTCAATGGCTTAAAGACCCCCTTCCAACTCTATTATCCTAGACTACACTGGTTTTCAAAAGCAGAAGACATTTAGCCACCAACATAAATTTCTGCCAAACCCATAAAATCTAGGCAATATATTTCCAGAAGTTTCTTTTGAAATTATTCATGTTGAAAATGTTCTTAGTAAAGTTTCTTTTCTCTCCAGAAAATCAGTTCAGTTCAGTTTACTGATGTAGTCAAAACCCTATGAGTACAGCAACCTGCATTTATTTTTTCACAAAGACTATTTTTCACTACTTCTGGAAGATCTGATTCTCCCAAAAGCAGAAAGAGTGTAAGCATCTGAGCCAGTGAGTAGAGGTCCATGAGGTTTACCAGCAGTAGTTATAATTACACTTTTTATTAACTTCATTTTATTTAGTTTACAAAGTTAACAGCGACACACATGCCCTTTAGCTTCAGTTCTTAAGAACACCTCCTGGAATTGGTTAGGCAGAAAAAAAACATGGTTAGTGAGCAGTTCATTAGATTAATATTTCTGGCCAGACAGTGGAGATTTTAACTGTCTATTTCCAGTCTTTGTTGTTGTTACAAGTCATTGGTCATTCTTCCCACTCTTCTTTTATATTGCTGTAAAGAAGTACAACACTTTTCCATCCAACTATGAATTCTCAACTACAACACCCAAGACAAATATTAAAACAAGAATAGCAGAGGCCAGTAGTTCAGAGCAAACATAAGAACTAGGAAAAAATATTCTAGAACAACTCAACAAAACAGTTCACAAATTGTGCAACCAAGATCACAGATAAAAATTATGTATTTCAAGAAAGGATAGCAAGTTAATCCTGAATTTGTTACCTGGCTAGAATGGTTAACAGCAAGTCAGTTCACTTAACATGCAGATTCAAACCAGCAAGTCAATTCACTTAACATTCAGATTAAAATGGGCACTGATTCCCACATTCAGTCTTCTTCTGATGTACTGAATCCTTATTAAAAAAACTCTTGATATTCTTGCAAAACATTAAGGGACAGGAACCCCAAGACTCTCTGTGGAGGGAGAAGAGAAACAAGGCAGGAAGCTAGAGAAGGCTCTAAGGGAAAGTAAGTCCTTTTGTACGGTGGAAATTCAAGCAGCCATCAGGATGCATTGCAGAGGTTTTCTCTAAATATAACAAAGCAAGCAGAATTGAGGTCATATAGAAGTTGAAAATGAGTCACAAGAAAACAATGTGACAAGGGAATGTTTGCGTTTACTTTATTCCAAGGTAGAGAGACCAGATTTTGTTCTGCTTTCTTCTCTTCTAAAGAGTAACACCACATGGTGCAATCCTTTCTGCAAGAAATATGTCACGGGTTAGAAGGGACAAGAAAGAACAAAGAATCTTCCATTAGATGGCTTTATCATAGCTTGGCCTTTTGTGGATAAACAAGACTGTCTTCAGTTCTATAGCTAATCTGATCCAAGAGTAATTTTAAACAAATATTAAGGTAAGTTATTTACACCAAATAATTTAATTGTTTCTGATAACATAAGCCTCTGCTTTGAGTTAGCACAAGGAATTGTCGACTGTTGAACATAAAAAGGAAGATCTGCTCTGCAAGAAAAAGAAAGAAAGAAAGAAGTTGAAATGAACCTGGATGGATGGAGGGAAGGAGGCAGTTTGTCACTTTTCCTAAAATAATGTCATTCCTACATGGAAGCAGAAGATAGAAAGACAGATGTGTAAAGGCTTTGATGCCACCTTGGAGAAGCAATATGAAGAGAACCCAGCGAAAGGGCAGCCTGCCAGAGGTGGGGTATAATGGGTTGAGCAAAAGTGGAAGATCCTGTAAAGCCAGCTAATTGCGAGGCCCTCCCGCTCCAGCAGTTAAAGAAGGCAGATTTAAGCATAGAGAGGATTTGACTTGCAAGCTTGATAAGTCTATCAAATAAATGAACCCAAGCCAGGTAAGCATGGTCTTCCTAGGTTTTAATCAGTTAAATGTGATAAAATATTTACCAGTTCCATGTAGAAAGGAAAGAAAAAAGGAAAAGAAAAAAAGTCATAAAATAAGGCACTTGCAAATGAGAAACATTTGCCAATTATCATTAAGAAAGAAAGAAATCTATCATTTCCATTAAATTAAGAGTAAAAAATTTCAAGAGGCAAAAATAGGAGAAGCAAATAACAGCATATTATCCAAATGTACATACAGTACTATTGCTTGCTTCTTATGGACTTAATGTAGAATTACTGATTACAGTTTGCCAGTTTTCAGCACCTTAATAATTAATTTTAAAAAGTCTTTTTTAAAAAATGAAGATTTAATTCCAGAGCAACATATAAGAATATTGTTTCTCCACCTGGGATTTATTACATACAATCATACAATCTTAGTCACAGAGTTGGAAGGAACCACCAATGTCATCTAACCCAACCCCCTGCTCAGTACAGGACTGCCTACTCACAGAGATTGAATACGCAAGGTGATTTACAAATTGAAAAAACAAGATACCAAAAATTAGAAGTTTAAAATTAATACTAAGACCCATTGATAATTAAAGGCAAGCAAAAGAGGTACATACCATATTTTCCAGCGTATAAGACGACTCGACATATAAGACGACCCCTGACTTCAGAGACGATTTACATGGTTAGAAAGTCATCTTATATGCCGGAAAATACCGTATTTTCCGGTGTATAAGACGATTCGGTGTATAAGATGACCCCTGACTTCGGAGACAATTTGCATGCTTTAGAAAGTCGTCTTATACCCCGGAAAATACGGTACTTATAAATTTGCAGTTCTTAAGAGAGTACATTTCATAGCTAGAAAACCACACCAAAAGCTCTCTCCTCCATGCAAGATATATGACTCGGTGACAGCAGGGATATCTTCAAAAGAATCTCCTCTCAAGATTCTAGCATTCAAACAGGCTCAGCATGGGAAAGAGGGTCCCTCAAGATATTTAGAGTCTAAGCAGTTACACTTAAAAGACCATGCCATGATTTTTTTCCCTTTAAATTCCCAATCTCGATTGCAGCTTTCCATCTGTCATGCGCGAACAACCAACTCATGTATGTAGAGTTCAAACAAGTTACTTTGTTCTATTTCTATTTTACTAGGATCTCCCCAGACTAACGGTACTTGACTAACAACTATTTGCTTAGTGGCCATTCGAAGTTACAATGGCACTGAAAAAAAGCAACTGATGATCCTTTTTCACACTTACCACTGTTGCAGCGTCCCCGTGATCATGTGATCAAAATTTGGATGCTTAGCAACTGGTTCATATTTATGATGGTTGCAGTGTCCCAAGGTCATGTGATCACATTTTGCCACCCTCTGACAAGCAAAGTCAATGAGGAAGCCAGATTCACTTAAGAACAGTGTCACTAACTTAATAACTGCAGTGATTCGCTTAACAACTGTGGCAGGAAAGACTGTAAAATGACATAAAACTCACTTAACAACTGTCTTGCTTAGCAACAGAAATTGTGGGCTCAGCTGTGCTCATAAGTTGAGGACTATGTAGTAGCTTTTGCCTGGGAAAGACTAGATAGGATTCAAACGATTTCAAGGGGTGGGGGCAGTCCGAACTTTGCTCTCTTGTGTTTACATAGCAAGTGCAGAGTAATTTCCCACTTAAGCCCCCCCTCCTGACTACGAGGGTTGCTCTCCAACACCATCCAAGCAATTATGGGGTCCAACTTGGCTTAGCTTTTTGAGATCAACCAATGTGGGTTTAATTGTGCAACGTCAATATCTCAAATTGTGCCTAGTAAGCACCTGGCAACCAGCACAAACTCTCAATACAAGCATTACACAATTCCCTACTATCTGCAAGATTTAGTGCTTAGTGGCTGTGTTTTGCACCAACTGCAACTTTTGTACATTTTTCAAGTGCAGCAGGCAAAACAGGACGGAACCAAAACATGGATAATTTTAATCAAATCAGCTGGCTCAGGAAAGTTACAGCTGCGCTAACCATAAATTGCGCAAACATGTTCCATGCCTCAGGTGCCCTTGGAGAATTATTCAGTGACAGATGAGGAGCAAGGAGTATTCTTAAGTCTTCCAAACTGCTTCAAATGTGCAATCTTTGTTGTCAGTCTACAGGTGTTAGTCTAAGTTATTCATACTATTTTTTCTCATTTTTCTGTCTTATTCATATGCAAAACTAAAACGCACACCTAGAAGCAAAATTAATGTGCCACAATTTTTTTTTAAAAGTAAGAGAACAGCTACCATTTAAAATTCTTGTCCGGGTCTTCCTTTTTTCAAAACACAATTTCCTATTATTACAATTCAGAATGAATTGTGAAAAATCTTATTCAGAAATCTAGAATGTTAAGATCAAAACAATATATTCTTAGCATCACCTAAGAAATACTAATATTCATCAAAATAATAACAAAGGGTGGATAGAAAAGAAACCAAACATTATTTCAACTGCACAAAATAAGTGCAAACAAAAGTCTTTTTTATTTCATGCATCGTGCTCACATGAATTATTATTATTTAATATCAACAACATAGGGATATTTTATGTTATGTCAAAAATCCTTCAGGTTTTCTGAACTGCAATTTTTATCTTCTCTAATCAGTAGTTGAGTTTACTCTGAGTAGTAGCTTAGTATAATTTAAAGAAACAGAAATTCCATTTTAGCGTCATTATACAATCTTTCTGAATGTGTAAATTATTTCCAAGTGAATACCTAACAAATCTGGTAGCTGTATAACTCATCACAATTTTAACATTTTTTTTAGCAAACAAAAAAGCTGAAAATATTAAATTCTAAAGCCTAGGCTACAAAGAACCAATATGATTTATTCGTGTTTTTTTTTTAAAATCTGGTTTAAATCAAGAAAATCTGATTTGGTTTTAAATTTCTTTTATGTCTGACTGTAACAGTTACTGCCGATAATTTCTCAAATAAGCTACATATGTAGTCCCTTTATTACTACAGAAAGAAATCCACAAGTAAAATATCAAAAGATATCCACTCACCTTGCTTTGTAAAATGACACTGTTAAATTAATTAACACACCTACATACTTTTGGAATCCTTACAAACCAAAGGGTGTGTATGACATATTTGCAATTCAGCGCCTACTCCCAGGGTTATCAAATAAGCAGCAAGAAAATACAAAGGGGTATGAGAAGGAACAGCAGAATGCCCCATAAAAGGGGAACAGAGAATAACTCATTTCACATCCAGGAATATGAAATTGCAAGAAATATTTTGAAACCCTCCAGTTTATCAATACTTGAAACCTATTCCCTAAAGAAAATGATATTTTTTTATTTCCTGCAAGCATAATCTCTTAAATTGGGACACTTTTTTCAGTAATTGGAAAGAATTAAAAGAAAATATTGCACATAATTTTTATGTTTGAAATCAACTCACTAATGTCAGTGTGGGTTTTTCAATACATAACATACCTCATGGGATTTATGAAGTAACTTCTATATCCACTATGGCCCATTTGTCAGCCTGACATAAAAATGCACCAGAGGATAGTGAATGGACTTAAAATATAACTCAATATAAAATATAACATGCCTTAGATTTTACTAGACGTCTCTTGTAGGTTTGCTTTAGTATTTTAATGCTAAGGACAGCTCTTCACCACCGTCATCATAGAAGTCTTTTATTTATTCAATTTTAGATACCACTCATGTCACTGTCCAAGTGACTCTTGATGGTTTACATATGCAAAGAATAAAATCATATAAAAGAAATATAATTAAAAACAAAATTAAAACAGAGTGAAAATAAAACAAGAGCAGAGTTAAAAAGACAAGTTAAAAAGTTTAAAAAAAAAGGCAGAGGGAGCACACTCAAGCCATCAGCCAACCATAGGATTGTATACCACTCTTTGACCACCAAGGGCCAAAAGACTGGTGGACAACCTCACCTTTGGGGGCAAGGTATTCCATACAGTGGGGGCAAGAGCAGAGGAGGCTCTTTTCCTAGACCCTGCCAATTAAAATTCTTTAGCCGATGGAATCTATAACGTACATTTCCTGACTTTAACCCAGTGGTTCTCAACCTGTGGGTTGGGACCCCATTTGGGGTCGAACGACCATTTCACGGGGGTCGCCAAACAACGCAGTCCGCCATTTTTTCCCCCTTTTCCTTAGCTGTGCTACTCCCTTTTATTCTGTTGGCTTTTGAAAGCCAATAGAATAGACTCTCTTGAATAGAGTCTAATTCTATTGGCTTTCAAAAGCCAATAGGAATTGTCCAGGCTATCTCTGCCCTGCTGAGCCCGCCAAAAGTCCCATTCTGCAAACGGTGCTGCACAGCTGCATTCTGAACCAGCTATATTGTCCAGATACTCTTCAAGGGTAGTCCCATGTAGAGTACAGTATGATGTAGGTACACTTTTAGGAATACTCACATTTTCCTAGATGCTTTTTCATATGTTCATAAGCTGCCTTCACTTGACCCAAGTTCAAAAAGTTTAAGCAAACAATTTTGCCAAATTCATATAGCCAC